CAATTTAATTATTAATTCATCCTAGAAAGTGTGTCGAAGTCGGTGAAGGAATTCGTATTTTTGTAAAAAACAGAATAACAAATATTAAACAATATTTACTTTATTTCATGTTTTCTTGAAACGGAAGCAACTTCAATATCCCGTAACTTCAAAACCGTTCGAAATCGGACATATCTTTATTAGACATTTTCGACTTGTCATCACATGTTAAAGTCGCTGTCCCACGGCACTGAATTTAAACACATCCTGTATTAAGCGTAGCAAAAAATCTCTAACTGCATTCGATAAGTGCCTTCCCTATATATAACCAATTATTCATTTATGCACAAGTTAAATATATCTTTCCATGTTGATAAGAACATGAAAAGTAACGAGTTTGCTGAAAGATCCTAAAATTAAGTGAATACAGATTTAATTTTATTGGATTAGCGTCGATTTATTTCATTAAAATAACTGAACTTCTCGCATTATTTTGATGACCTGACAAAATTATTTTCAGATAGCTAAATTTTAGATCTTTCAATCAAATCGTTCCTTTCCGTGTGTAGATTTAATCGCACAATTCGGTCACGAGAATTCGGCGCTTTAAGTAGGAAATGTATCTATTTCTAAAAAAAGGCATGTTAAATCGATAGTCGAATCTATCGAAATCTCGAAAGTCTCGAAATTTATTGTTGGCTCTCTTCCGCGACGCTGATCGGTTGTCTCGCTGTGCTTACTTCGTGAGCGGCTGTCATTGCATATTTTGATGCAGTTGCGTGCATTGAGGTTGATGTGTAATTATAAGTTATAGTATAAAAAGTAAAAAGCGCAGCCAAATATCGCGCGCGAGGCACGCGTCTGTGGTGCTAGTGCTATAAATAACAGATATATAACTTGTGTGTACATTCCGCAACACAGATCGTGAATAATTTTGTGATAAAGTTCCCTCGACAATACAAAATATTCTCGCTGATTAAATTACTACCCTAGCAGTAAACCGTGGATGATATCATAATAGCGTCGATTATTAACTTTGTGTACCGGCGCGTTTCATAAATAATAAGGGTGCATGTACTCAATCAGAACTCCGGCGCTATTCTTTTTTTTTTCCTTTGTACCGTGGGCGACTTATCGCCGCATGCTGAACTTGCTTCATTAAGACTTTCAGAAGAAACCACACCGCGCGGAGTACGGGCTGGATTAATTACGCGCGTCACTAAATCGAGAGCGCGGAAGTTTACCGGTGAATAAGTTTACCCGATGAATAAGTCGATGGCGCGCGGCTGAGCAATTATCATTAAACCGTGGTTCTTAATACAGCCGCGCGCGAATTTTCGCTTCCCGCGGCACGTTTGCGCGTCCGCGGGAATTTATCGAGAGCAGCCGCGAGAACAGACCGCAGACAGACACCGGGTAAAAGATATACTTCCGGGCGATCGTTTCTCCCGCGGCCTGCACTCGCGAGATCCGTGAAAGGGATAGCATCTCTCGCCGCAGCAGTTTTAATATGCTAAGTGCCTGATAGCCCGCATAACCGTAATGTTAAAACTTCGTAACTTCTTATTGCGAGGATATGCGCTCTCCTCCTCCTGTATCGATTCGCGGTATATGGTAACGCGTATACGCCCGCGCTCACACATATAGGTATCGGGTTCGCGTCGCACTTGCAAACTCGAAGCTTTATTGAGAGCCAGCTACACGCAAAAAAATGACTTAGCAATACACGGAAAGAACGATTTTGTTAAAAGGTCTAAAAATTTGTCTCAAAACAGATCTGAAAATAATTTTTTGTTGAATCGTCAAAATAATTTGTTGGAATGTTAAAACTGATAAATTTTATTGCTATAAGACGTTTTTGATATTCTAACAATCATTTTGACTTTCGCACAAAATTATTTTGATTATTGAACAAAAATTATTTTCAGATCTGGATTCAATAAAATTCTTCTTTCCGTGTAGTAGCTAGATTTCAATAGCTGAATCAAACTTAGCTATAAGAGCTACCGCCTTAGTATTATTGCTAATAGTTCTGACTATTACCAGATAAAAAACATTCACTGTGACAAAACAAATTATTAACTGAAATTAAAAGCATATATATTAGTACAGGCAGCTGAAAAGGTGGTATGCGTACCTAAATGTCTTATCGTGCACACATTTGGCACACAGAGCTAAATTTTATAGCTATACGCGCGAAAATTTGATTTGTAATTGTTTCTACAATGTGGCACTGTGTGCCATATGCACATCTACGGCGCATTTAGCATTTATATTTTGCAGTATATAAGCTATATACTGCAAATATTATTACTCTATTGCGAAGATAAAATAGCATAATAGATTCGACTAAATATCGTTTGATTTTAGCAGCAAATATTTTTTGCTGTAGCATCTACATACATTTTAATAACTAATAAATTGAACTTCGGCAGCAACGACATTAGCTGTCCCTATTTTAACGACACATATTAGCTGCCATAGCTATATTTTAGCTTCATTGGCTAATCCTTTTTCTGCGCGTAGCTATCTAGCTTCGCGTCAGGCGACCCTGCAGTTACAGGAAAAACGTTAAATGCGCGCCTATACCCCGCGTGGGCTCCTGTCGCATTTATTACCGCGCATTTGGGCCGCATTTTTCGTTTCCGGGCGGGCGGAGGGAGGGAGAGGAGGGGAAAGAAGAAAACTTTCCGCCGTTACCCGGTGTCCCAAATAACGAGTAGTATAGCTCGCGCATTCGGCGGGACGCCATCCGTGGGAGTTCGCCGCTGCCTGGGGGCACGGCGGCGTGGGAGAGCCCTTAAATTTCCACCGACGGAAAAGTCGATATTGTTTCCGGCGCCGCTACATACGCAACCATAAATTCAAAATAGATGCCGGATGTTGAGGGCACTTTCAGACATTGTGCTCCATACGGCCGCTGTCATGACCGTGTTGCGGAGTTTCGCGGCTGGAATTTTGTTGCCAAGTTTCGACTGAATGATCTCTTCAACTGCACATAAGTACATTTGAGTGTCATGTTTATCTATTAAGCGAACAATCGAGAATATAGATTATTGCAATATTTTAAATTTATGTTATTTCAAATTTAACGCCAATAAATATTTTAAATTAACTTTATGTAAAATTTGACATCAATAAATATTTTGAATATTTTTTTATTAATTTTAACTTTATTTAATTTGTATATTGTTTCTATTACACACGGTTTATATTTATTTATTTCTATTATATTTCACAAAATATTTTTATCTATGATTTTACTATTTTTAAATGATATACTAAATTGTTTTGCACAACGTACATACATACATATAGACGTTTTATTACAACTTTGAATATATATTAAAATCTATATATTAAATATGTGTATTAAAAAGTAAACATTAATCCGTTTTCTTACAAGGTAATGAGAATCTTTGCGATAAAAGATATTCTTAAATACATTAAATTCCAACGGCAATTTCCTCGCGACAATCTGACCATGTAATCGCATGCTGAATCGATTTCACAATGGATTGCACACGATCGTATTAAGCTGACATCAAAGGATATTCTCGGGCGATTACATGCTACATATTTGTTCAAAGAACACCATGTTGTCTGATTTTGTCTTTGTTCGGTTGCATCTTGAAATCCGAGGTATTCTAGAGGTGATTAATCCTGAAAATTCCACAGATTTTGCAAAAGGACTTGTAATAATTTCCGTAGCATATAAATTTGTTCTATAATATTAAAAGACATATTATCTGACGATTTAATATATCTAAAATCTTAATATAACAGTTGCCAGTCACACATGCCAGTTTTATTGAGTATCTAGTTAATTTTATACATAGAAGCGTGTTAACTGAATTGTCTATATATATAGTTTTATGTATAAATGTTTTATTACAAATACGACACTGTAGATATATTGGTCAATGATCAATATAGACGTATATGTCAATAATATAACAACTTCCAAGTTTTTGCTTCGTTTAATTAATGATTAATTATATACTTAATTTGCAGAATAATTTGTTAGCATATAAATAATAATAATTTCAATTAGATCACGTAAGTGAATATCACAAATAAAAGCTTGCCTTTTATGATTGAGGCTGAATCTTGGTGCCTAAATAATATTTCTATATGAATTTTAAATCCCTTATTTAGCCATTTAAACTGCGCGCCGAATTAATGTTGGATTTACAACGAAATCATTAGCTGAAGCTGTAGAATATTAAGACCACAATTAATCTTCAATTTCTAATAATGCAATGCGAAACTATTTTACGAATAATTGACATTGGCCATCAAAATATCTGAAAATATTTTGAAAATATTGGTTTCTTTGTCATATCAATTTATGACACGTGCTCAAATTTTTAATCAATTGGTATCTATTCTTTTGTGAAAAAAATTGTTATCTTGGTTTCGATCGTTGTTGTTTCAGATTTGTAAATGAATAATTATTTAATTTGCAAGTTACATCGTAAAATGTTAGCGTAAGTTTGACTGTATTACCTACGTAGTTTTCTTAATGTAATTACTTGCGTGGGATGTACATTTCGCTTCAACATTACATCTCAGTTTGTACTGATCTTATAATTTACATAATTATAATAATTTACAAAATTAAATAAAAATTGATAATGTTCTATCTTCAAGATAAAGATAACTACAAAATTTTGTAATTGTAAAACAATTGTGTAGCATTTGTAATCGATAGAAAAGTTTTGCTTCTTTTTTCTTTTCTACTGTTTACTCGATGAATTTTTTAAGTGGTAATGTATTTTACATCTTACGCAAATAATGTAGGATTAAGAAATGAGAGAGGAACGGTGTGGATAAAATTAAAAAAGAATCACTCGTTACAAGAGAAGAGAAAAATCACGTTTCCTAAATCCTGTTTTGTCAGCCTGCTTTTTACGGTAGCTTCCCTCGGAGCCCTCTCGTATATCTTGGAAGACCGCTGGCAAAGTCGTTCGCGGAATATCTCGAAGCTGCGGGGACTTTCTGTTTTACGACATTGGATAATGTCGTGCGACAAGCGAAAGTGCGGGATGGAGGAAGGAGGCGCGCGAATGCGAGTCACGTTTAGCAGCGGCGCCCAAGACACCGGCGATATCCTGGCTGACAGGTAAAGCGGAATTCTCGAAGACACATAGATAGGGGGCCACATCCCGCCAGTCGATGTGCATTCTACCAGATCTTAGATGAACAACGGAACATAAACCACGTCGTTTTACTCTCCGTAGAAGAGAATGTTAGGAAGTTATCTCGCGGTCCGAGAACGCCGGAAAATTCAATGCTTGTGTATATATATATGTGTGTGTAAAGTAGAGTCTTTTATCGTTAAACTTCGGAGGGAGAAACTTTTTTTTTCCTGCCGCGATTCACAGTTTAGCTATTATAGGTATCTTATGTATTTTGCGTTAAAAATTTATATTTTAAAATAAAATGTTTAGCTCTCAGTTTACCTTGTCGCATATCAGGTATCTCATTTTATATATTTCGCGTTAAGAATTTTTGGGTTTACATTGTTCATTGTGCTGCTTTATCCTCGAACATGAGGAAGGAACAGAAGGATTTCGTTTTAATCGCGCGTATTTATTATGTAAAAACTAGTCGAGAAATCTTCAAAATGAGCCCTCAAAGCTAAGCTCGTGGAATCTGCTGGCATTGATCCAAACTGCTGGGTAGATTTTGATATTTTTGGTTCTTGCAAAACGCTTGCGTTCCTGCGATGCAAACGTTTCTCGAAATCCAAGGGATGTTTGCTCAATCCTTAGATCCTTGTACAGTTCTTGAATCCCCCAGAAGTGCTTGCTTCGTTGGGCTTTCTACATCCACCGAAATTCGTGTGTTTTTGTATCGTCGAGATTTAAGCTGGGATTTTACGTGCACGTTTTTGGCCAAAAAATTTGACACGATTTGACTTAAGAATGTCGCTGGAATATGCCGGTTGCTCACGGAATATTATTCAGTTACAGCGACACGCAGACGAGACAGAGCGCCGCGCGAATTACCGGGGCGCCGAGCCTCAACTTCGTGTTTTCGATGATTAGCGGAGATACAACTTGTCATCAGATCATGACTCTAAATGATGAGTGCGTGCGTTAGATCGACGAGCTTGACGGTTGCACGCGATGTTCAAGGGGTGTTAACATCTGTGATTGTCGACGGCTACTGATTTGCGGGAACGTCGCTGATTCGCGTACATGAACCTCATTAGTCGACTTAATACACACGCCTGCCACTGCAAATGAATCGCTCAGGTACTACAAATAGAAAGTAATACAAAATTAATACAAAAACTTGCTCGTAATGTATTTTTTATATTAGAAAATACAGCTTTTAAATTTCTACACGAGATTTTTCAAATACTTATTTGAAAATTATAATTTTACTCGTAGCTACACTGTTGGAAAATTTGTGTTATATTTATCACATGTCCCAAGTTAAAAACGATTAAATTTTTGTTAATTTAACATAAGATGAATACGTTAGAAAGTAACACAAATATTATATTAAAAAATTAACACAAAAAATGTTACACTAATACAATTTATAAGCAAACTGTGGAAGCATATTTTTCAATAAAATTAATATTTATGGTACATTAAATTAACATAAAAATTTTATTTATTTTATGATAGAATTTACATTTTAAGACACATTATTTTTATGTTATTTGTTCACTTACTTATAAATTGTTATTTTGACACTAAGAAATGTTAAATATTAATTTAATATAAAATATTTAAATAACATAATCACATTATGTTAAATTAACACTCGAATATGGTAAAAATGCCAACACAAAATTTTGACAAACAAGTGAGTGGACTGTTTTTAACATAAATACAAAATGTTTTTTACTGTGTAATTAATTATTTATATGTATAACTAAAAATGTTATTTAGAATTTACATAGAAATATTATTAGGACACCAAGATCCGGTTGTTGGTGTTTTTCCGTTTATTGTATAATTCACTGTAGTGGTCTATAAGCTTATTAACTTATTATTGTTTACGCGCATAGCGTTAATCTTTCGAAGTACGTCATTTTCGGTTCCACGTTATTTGTCAGCGCGTCTTTCCCGGAAACTATCGATACACACCGTTTCCGCCGGTATCGGTTCCCCGAAACGAGTCGATCTCATTCTCGTGCTTTTAGGTGAAACTGCTTTCTTATCGACACGTTGATCAATACGTTCAATTTATGTGCATTTGTCCGATTGATATTTATGACCTGGCGATCACGGTGGATTGCCATCACGGCCTCAAACTTTATGACGTAAGCGTTTCCGTGTCACGCAACGTTCACGCTTGGTGGTACCACGAGCCGCGGCGGCGGCGGCGGCGGCG